GAGCGGGAACCGGTCTGTATGTGGGATCCGAACCCTCGGGCGGGAGCGCCGCCGCGCTTCCCAAGCGGTGCACTATCCAGTGCACCACCGGGCCGGCCCCTTGTTTTGTTTTTTGGTTTTGTTTTGTTTTTTGGTGGCTGGCTGGTTTAGGGATTGAACCCTGGACCTTGTTGTTATCAACACCACCACCACACTCTAACCAACTGCTCTAACTGGCTAGCCCATCAACACATTTTTAATTATTGATTTATATTTTATAAGTCTTTTAAGTCAGATAGGAGAAAAAGAGGTATAAAAAAAAATATTTGTACTGGATTTTATGTTTACTCTTGTTCTGGCCTTTATAGATGCTCTTTATTTCTTCATGTGGATTCAGCTACTGTTCTTTCATTTCATCTGAAGAAGTCCCTTTTAGTATTTCTTGTAGGGCGGGTCTGCTAGTGATAAATTCTTTCAGTTTTTGTTTAACTGGGGTATCTTTATTTTTACTGTCTGAGGGATAATTTTGCTGCATATAGAATCCTAGGTTGACAGTCCTTTTTTTTTTTTTGGTGCTTTGAATTTGTTATTCCTCTCCCTTCTGACTTCCACGGTTTCTGATGAGAAATCAGCTGCCCATCTTTTAAAGATCACTTGTGCATGATATGTTGCTTTTTTCTTGCTGCTTTCAGGATTCTCTTTGGCTTTCAACAGTTTTATGTGTCTAGGTGTGGATCTCTTGGAGTTTATCCTATTTATATTTCGTTAAGCTTCTTAGATGTGTGGATTCATGTTTCTCATTAAATTTGGGAAGTTCTTGACAATTATTTTTTGAAATATTCTTTTTACCATTTTCTCTTTTTCCTCTTTTCTGAGACTTCCATTATGCTTATGTTGGTATGACTGATGACATCTCATAGGTCTCTGAGGCTTTGTTTCTTTTTCCTTTTCTTTATTTCCCTCAGATGGGATAATCTCAGTGGACCTATCTTCAAGTTTTGTGATTCTTTCTTCTGACTGCTCAAAACTTCTACTGAGCCCCCCTAGTGAATTTTTCATTTCAGTTATTGTACTTTTCAACTCCAGAACTTCTATTTGGTTTATCTTTTTTTCTTTTTCATACTTTCACTTCACTGATGTTCTCTATTTGGTGAGACATCATTTTCACACTTTCCTTTAGTTCTTTGGGCATAATTTCTTTTGGTTCTTTGAACATATTTAAAACAGCTGTTGAAAGTCTTTATCATGTAAGTACAATATCTGAGCTTCCATAGTGACAGATTCTATTGACTCCTTTTTCCCCACAACATATGGGTCATATTTTCTTCTTCTTCTTTTTTTTTTTTGTCTTTTGTCTTTTTCTGTGTCCGGCAACGGATCGCAACCCTCAGTGTTGCCCCCGTACCGGACCGGGGACCGGCAATGGGATTGCAAACCTCGGTGTTGCTCCCGCGCCTCGCTCAGCCAGTGAGCGGGAACCGGTCTGTATGTGGGATCCAAACCCTCGGGCGGGAGCGCCGCCGCTTGGGAGCGGCGCACTTATCCAGTGCGCCACCGGGCCGGCCCCATATTTTCTTATTTCTTTGCATGAGTTGTATTTTTTGTGTTGAAAACAGCATTTTAAATAATATAATCTGGCAACTCTGGGGATTAGATTCTTCCCCCTCCCCAGGGTTTGTTATTGTTTTTGTTGTTGTTTCTGTTTGTTTCTTTGGTGACTTTCCTGAACTGTTTTTATAGTTTTATTCTTTCTAATATGATTCCTGAAGTCTCTGCTTGGTTAGCTTAGTGGTAGTCTAATAATTGTGCAGAAATATCCTTAACCACCTGCAACCATTAAGTCTCCCAATCTTTTCTGGTGGACTCTGTGTGCGTGTTGGGGCATGACTTCAACTCTGCTTTAGCCTTTCACTTCCTGCTTACACAGAGCTTCAAGGTCAGCCTGAGGATGAGTATCAAATAGAATGATAGTTTTGAAAAGTACAGATATAAGCTATCATCACATCTTCAGTTTTTTACCTGCCATTGTTCTCATGCCAGATTGTTTGCTCTTTGCAAGCACAGATGTTTTCTGACTTATATACATCTTACTTACATGTAAACACCTAACTTATATGTCTTAGACCTCACAACCACTGCCATAAGCCCCTGTTAAAAAAAACAAAAATAAAAGAGCTTTGAGCTTTAGAGAATTTGTAGTTTCATGAGTAACATATAGCTTCCAAAAATCAGAGATAGTCTTAGGTATTGTTTCTGAAAGTGAGTCTCAAGGACTAGCTGCCTCAGAATTATTTGGGATGTTTGTTAAATTCAGGTTCATGTTTTCGTACCAATCTTTTTATTCAGAATATCTAGGGTAGGGTCTAGAGGTTTACATTTTTAACAAGCCCTCCTGGTGATTCTTATGCTCACTAAATGTCCTAGAAACTGCTTTGGGAAGATAATCTTGTAGATGTGTTCACAGGAGGGACTGACTGGCTTATGATGTAAACGGTGCTCAAATATTAACCTTCTCCTTTAAATGTCTGATTTTTTAAAAATTTCACTTTACTTTTACACTTACTCAAATTCCACTGATTTGAGATTTATTTGCATTTATTAGTTTTTTGGTTATTTTTAAATTTTTAAATGGCTGCCAGGTTTAAAAGACTAATAGTCACACTGTTTTGAAAGTTCGTTTAATAAGATTGCATTTATTCAAACAACTGGCCAAGATGATTACAATGAGAGAAGAAAGTTTTGTTTGTTTTTTAAATTGAAGGGAGGGTAGGTATTTTATCTCAGGATTCAAAAGCCTTTAGGAGAAGAAAAGGCCTGGGTTAATTCATGCCATAAAAGCACAGCTAGGGGAGGTGGGTGAGAAGGAGGACAGGGTACTAGATAAACCAGTGGGTGCACTTGTCCATATCAAAATATTGTACCGAGAGCTGGCCATGCAACCAGAAAAGAGGAGGGGAATTTTTTTTCTCCTCTCCACTTTTAATATTACCCTTTCTCTCAAGATACAGAATTCAGGTCAGTAAAATTTGTATGAAGGAATGACATCAGCCGCCCTAGGGTTAAATAGGCTTTTGTGGATTGTTTGGAGACATAATCACCACCTAAAACACCAAGTAGAAGTTGTCTTTATGCAAAAATGTCTTATGGTTTCCAAATAACACACTTCCTAATGAAGTTTTGGATGCAACCCATTTGAGAATTTGAGATTGGATCAAATTCAGATGTGTGATTTATCTGTGTTTATTTAAAATTCTAAGCTGATTTCTTCCAACCATCTGTTTACTTTTAGGCCATTCCTCCTTTAGGAGTTTTGTGTTTAGGTAATACAAACTCAGTATTGAAAACAATTAGGGGAGTGTAGATCCTTATAAAACCTAATACATTCAAAAATGAAACACAAATTAAAAAATTATTTCATGTTATAGGTTTTTGCTGCTCTGACCTGTCTTTGTTAATAAAAGTAATCAAGAGATTCCTATTCCCTCTCCCATTCAAACCAGTTTATTTAGGATGCCTCATTCTGCCTTAGGTCTCCAGAATTCTATTACAAATGAACAGAGTAGTAAATTGTGTTTCTTATTTCTTTCAAGGTATTGCGCAGCGATGCACAGCTATCAAGTACCACTTTTCTCAGCCAATCCGCTTACGCAACATTCCTTTCAATTTAACCAAGACAATCCAGCAAGATGAATGGCACCTGCTTCGTAAGTATTTTTGGGAAAGGGTCAGAGAGAAAAAGGTGTCTTTTTCAACAAAAAGGATTCCCACTATCCCTCACAGATTTGGACTGAAAGATGTGCTTATCCTTTATGGGCCTCTGGTCCCACTCGGACTTGGTCAGAGACTCAGAGGGTCATTTGACTATGCTGTGGGCATGACTTATTTACAAACCAAATGTGTGATAATCAGGTAAGAGGCTTTGTGAGGCAGTGCAGTGTGCCTGTCTGCCCTGGTGGCATCTGTACCCAAGCCTACTGATTCTTTTCTTTATCAAGCTGTTGGCTACAAGAACCTGCTCTCCCTCTTGTCTTAATCAGCCAAGGAGATTGTACCTTAGCTGCTCTTCTGTTTGTTTTAGTTATACAATATTTCAGCTACTGTGTTTATCTCAGACCTTTGTATTTCTGCTAAAATATTTTTATGAGTGTATGTTGTGATTTTCTCAGAGGGTGTCAGTTACTTCTTCATCTCAATGGAAGGAACTACTCTTTTTCACTGTCAGGAAAATGTGAAATTCTAGAAAGGATCTTATAATGTGAAACTAAAGAGGGCTGATATTTGCCTGAAAACTGAAGATTCAAGCTGCCTGGTGATAGGTAACTCATGAGAGCAAAAAAACTACACTGAATTATTTTTGGTATTTACCCTCATCAGAAGTTGACATTGTTATTTTCCAATGAAATAAGCAGCAAGGACTTCAGGATCTTGTTTGGTGACTAAAGCTACTGTAGAAAACCAAGCAGAGTCACATTCCACAAGTAAATGCCTTTGCAGATCTAAAGACTCTTTTAAATTGCAAACACATAAATGGAAGCTCTTATGATACTGCCACAACAATGGTCTAATGTTATAAATACTATGATTGGCAGCTTTAGGATTTGAAAGCCATTGGATAAAATGTGGTTTATTTCTTAATAGTATGAGTTCCTGAAAGTTCTTTCTTTTTTTTTCCTTTTTGTCTTTTTTCGTGACCGGTAACGGGATCGCATCCCTCAGTGTCGCGCCCGCACCACGCTCAACCAGCGAGCGGACCGGTCTCTATATGGGATCTGAACCCTCACGCACTCCCAAGCACCGCACTCTACCGAGTGCGCCACCAGGCCGGCCCTGAAAGTTCTTTCTTTCTTTTTTTTTTTTTTCCTTTTTTGTATTTTTTTACTGACTGGTAACGGGATCGCAACCCTCAGTGTCGCTCCCGCACCACGCTCAACCAGCAAGCGGACCGGTCTCTATATGGGATCTGAATCCTCGCGCACTCCCAAGCGCCGCACTCTACTGAGTGCGCCACCAGGCCGGCCCTGAAAGTTCTTTCTTTTTTTTTTTCCTTTTTTGTCTTTTTTACTGACCAGTAACGGGATCGCAACCCTTGGTGTCGCGCCCGTACCGGGGACCGGCAACGGGATCGCAACCCTCGGTGTTGCGCCCGCACCGCGCTCACCCAGCGAGCGGGAACCGGTCTCCACATGGGATCCGAACCCTCGGCGGGAGCGCTGCCGCGCTCTCAAGCAGCGCGCTCTCCAGTGCGCCACCAGGCCGGCCCGAAAGTTCTTTCTTGCTGGCAGTTTTTTACCAATCATTTCTCAGCAGGTCCAAGTTAGATTCTTATCTAAGTGTTCTTATGTCTTAATTCTTTATGAACATGTTTGGGGTTCTTTGTCTTAATCATCTGTCCAGAGAGCCACATAGTTACTGGCTTTGGTCAGGTGAGAAAAGATCATTATAGGATCCTGAAAAAGAACTTTATCTCTTTACTGTAAGAGTTTGTACTCCATTATTGCCCAGCAAGGCAATATTTGAGCATTCTCCTCAATCCTTTTTGGAGTTCTCATGGAAAAATGCTTTTTGCAGTCTCATGCATGGCTCTTTCTAAGAAAGTCACACTTGGTGATCTGTACCACGTTTACTGGATAAGCTTAACATGTCTGGTACTAATGCAAATCCCATGTGGATTATATCTGAACCTTGTGCCATTTCATAGTCACAGAAAATACAACTATTACTCAAACCACAGGGAATTTGGAAGGTTGTAAGAGAATAATGGCTGAACTATTATTACATTTTCCCTGCTCAGATGTGCATGTCTCAACTACTTATACCCTTAGCATTGAACTCAGCATTTTAAAATTATCACTGCCCATCGCCCTGTTCCTCTTCTAAGCAGAGGTGCTGTTTTAATTTGGATGCCCTGAGCTGGAAATAAGAAATCCCCTTCAAAAAAAAGGGATGGTCTCTGTGTGGCTAAGATGCTAAAAGCAAAACTGGAAGCTACTGTAATCCATCCTCCATGCAGCAGTCTTAAGATGCCCAGGAGCAGCACACATACAATGAGGTGGCGGCTGCCTGGGCACTTCCACCTGAGCAGAGCAGCCCACGCTTGGCTCCATGTGTGCACGGGTGTGCACGATCCGTGTGCATTTGCCCAGACCTGTTGCCTGGCCTTAGGAGCAGCAGATGTATGTTTGAGAACTGTTGTTTTAAAAAGGATCATAGAAATTTAGTTAACAATTTTAAAGTTAGCTTTGCTGCTGTAAAAAAAAAAAAAAGAAAAGAAAAAAGAAGGAAGGAAATAGAAAGAATAGATAGATCAGCACAACACGTCTCTGGACTGAAAGTCAACTCAAAGTACAGTTGGCCCTTCATGTCCGTGGGTTCCATATCCGTGGATTCAACCAACCACAGATCGAAAATATTTGGAAAAAAAAAGGATTCCACAAAATATCAAAAAGCAAAACTTGAATTTGCTGCACACCGAGTACTGAGTTGAATCCACACAAATGAAATGATGGGTAGGTGTTGTATTAAGTATTGTAAGTAATCTAGAGATGATTTAGAGTATACAGGAGGATGTGCTTAGGTTATATGCAAATACTATGCCATTTTATATAAGGGACTTCTGCATCTGTGGATTTTGGTATTCTCAGGGATCCTGGAACCAATCCCCCACAGATACTGTACATGCCTTAGTGCTGACGTCATTGGTGTTATTTTTACATACAAAACATTCATTCACTTCACTCCACATATATTTTTTGAAGACTCACTATACTAAGCAAATGAATAAGGCAGGCAAAAATCCTTGTCTATTTTTATTGTGGGGAGACATAAACGATAATTTGTGATAGAGATAAGATAGCGGGAAGGTGGGCAATCAGAGTGCTACCGGGCAATCAGAGGGCTACTTTAGCAATTGGAGTCAAAGGTACACATAGTCAGTCCATCTCTTGGTTTTGCCAAGGAGGTGGGGAAGGAGCTGGGTTCCTGGCTTGGTGCTCACAGTCGTGTTTTTGCTAGAGACCTAACTTGACAGCTGGGCATATGGTGGAGACAACCCATGGGAACAGTCTCTCCTTAACTTGGGTAAATGGGTATTTGGGTTGTGGGACCCATGTCTTAGAAGAGAGGATGTTTATGAGCAGATGTCTTTGGGGAGAGGGTGTTTATGAGCCGATGTCTCATGTGTGCAGTTTAGGCCACTATTTCAGTCACTATAACGGCCTTCACTTTCCCAGATCCTTTTTGAAAATAGGCAGGAGTAGATGTAAATGAAAAACAAAATAATTGGCATCTGTGGTGCTCAGGTAAGACTGTATTTTACTATAGCTCACTTTTTAGGCTCTTTCTCCAAAGCCAGGTTAATTACAGCCACTGCAGTGGTGGTAACCTTCATTTCTATTGCCCTTTTAAAGATAACAAAGGTATTTCTTTAACCTACC